ACGTAATTAATGAAATAGTATGCGATAACATATCTATCAGATACATTTGCCGGCCAATTCGTTTAGCATCATACACCTTGACATTGAAACATGTAAACCTACTGACTGACTGACTGTCTGTTGCGCTATTTTGAATTTATTTGAAACAGGCTTCGGCCTAAAAGTCAATGTAACTATAAAATTGGTTTATATCTGACATTAAACGACATTAAATAAATAACAGCAACTACAGCAATAACAACATTGATAATTTTTTAATTAATTGTTTTTCTAAAATGTCAAGATACTGTTAATGTAACTTCCCTGCATGCGATAAACTTCACATTCTTTGAAAATGTTTAATAAGAGTCAGCAGTGTAGGCGGTTCACCTTGACCAGATTTTTAATGAAATATTTGTGTATCTCTCTTTTGATACCTTTCCTTTGGAGTCGATCTGCCTCCAATATTAGCATAAATGCTTATGTATCTACAACATATGTATCTACAAATATACATATTACTCTGCAGTCATTTAAGTATTCATCAATATGTAAAGCATTTTTTTCTTCCATTCGTTTATTAACTTTGGTTTACTGGTTCAAATCCGGCGCTTGCTGGCTTGTCATCTCACCAATGGAGCAAATCACTTTTTATGGTTGCTTAAACGGTGACTACGTGCTTTTGCCCTAATGGCAGTGGTTTGTGCACACTTCCGTTTCTATTCAATTGCCATTTTGTATTATTGGAAGTGTCGCATTACTCCAAATGACAAAAATAAATAATATTTTTATTTATTTGACAAATGTTTTGATATGAAAATACCAGTAGCTTTGCTAATTTGCAACAAATTATTCATTTTTATTTGATTTTTATTTAAATTTTTTATTATAAAATATATATTCGATCGAGTTGACAATGTATGACACTACTTCTATAGGTCATTTCATTGATTATGAAATTTATAATGTAATCAATGCTTTTAAAAATAATAATTATGATATTTAATCTTCTATGATTTGCACTATCATCCTTTAGGGTTAAAAATGGAGGATTGAAAGATTTTGGCTGCTTCAAGTTTTAAACTCAATTATCCTATATCAATAGCTATATTCATGCTTTTATAGATAGTGATTATGATACTGCTTGCTCTATGATTATCATCCAAGATGGGGCTTGACATCTTCCAATAATAAACTCAATTATCCTATATCTTTCGCTAAAACTATTAAGATTTTCATATCATGAGTTCTGATATCTATCAATATATGTTAACATCATTAAGATAATATGTTAACATCGTTAAGACGATATGTTAACATCGTTAAAGACATACTTTAAAAACTTTGTTGTCGTACCAAAGTTTCAGTTAAATCCGATATTTTTTAATAACAGACTGCAGCCATATTACAAATTGCAGCCAACTAAGCATATTGACCAACATTGTAGCACACAAAATCAATTTACTCACTTGCAAAACGATTATTTGAAGAAACAATACTTTCAATCACGATATTAAAATTAAATATAATTTATTAAAAAATACACTTACTTCTTGAATGAGTTAATTATTTTTAATATTAGTTTATAAACTTTAACTTAAGTTCAGGGGCGTATGAGTAATGCAATCATTCGCAACAGTTAATGATATCAAGATTTTGTATAGAATTCCGAAAAATTGCCATAATAATTACCAGTACTAATCACTAAAAATAATAAAAGTAATTTATAATTATATTAAATATATGTATAGGTTCATTTGTTCTTAATATATCTAATAAAACTAATAATATTTCCTAATAAATATATTTTATAAAAATTTTTTTTTTAAAAAATACTTATATTCAAAATATAAATAAAATAATATTATAATTATAATCGCTAAATATAATGAACGTAATTTACAATTCTATAAAAAATAGGTATAAGTTAATTTGGTCTTAATATAGGTTTCTAATAAAACTAATATTATTTCTTAATAAATTTATTTTTATATAAATATATTTTTAAAAAAATCTTATATCTAAAATAGAAATTAATCACTATAAAAAATAAAAGTAATTTATAATTATATAAAATATTTGTATAAATCCATTTATTTTTAATATATCTACTATAACTAACAATATTTTACAATTAATATGTTCGTATTTACAAAACTATCAATTTCATAATAATACTCGCATCTAAAAATTAATAAATAAAATAATTTTTAAACTCATATTATATATAATATAATTAAGAATTCAAAATGTGTTGATTCTGTTTTAATTATATTTGATAGATCATTCATTCATTATATATTCGACCCATACATAGTCTCTCTGGGTACTATAGCGTTATCATTTGAATTCATTTTTTATCCTAAATGATTATATATTAAAGGAAATATAAATGATAGTTATAAGCACAACCCTAGGAAGTAGTATATAACATAGATACATAGAAACATAGATAGTTTTTATGACTAAGTTTCTTAAGGTATAGTATTAAGGTTAGCATAATTATTGACGCCAACATTGTTATTTTATCAATAATATTAAATATATTTAGCGTCAATAATATCATACACTGACTTAGCTGTGTTTATCTAATCCCGGTTGAAATTGTCTTCTGAAGGTCTAAACAAATAATATCAAAAAAGATTATTATATATTTATTTACAAATCATATTCAACACTTAGTTTCAATAATATTATGAATACCATAATATTATAATATATGGAATATTGAATAAATTTATTGAACATATATATTATATATTTGTAAAGTACGTGAATAGTTCACATAGATTTAATATATAACAAATAACAGACCTACCTAGTATTATTTTTTATAGCTCCGTGCTTGAAATTTAATGGTATTAAAAGATGTGAAAAGATGTGAGATGCGTGGATAGACGTTGTTCAAAAACTATAACCGAAAACATCGAGTATATTAATTGAAGTATTGCAGATAATCCAGGAACTTCAATAACTTCAGTGTTTAATACAGTTTGGCGTATGCGGTATTATAATGCCTTCTGTATTAATCAATATGAATCTTAATATTATATATTTATGTAGTCTATTTACGCTTCTCTCAATTTGTTTAAAATAATATATAATAAAATAATTATTGAATATTTAATAACCTTTTTCCGATTATCGAAATAATGTCTGAAAGAAGCGCAATGCCCTGAACTAGATTCTGACTTAAATTTACATAAAACAACCTCAAATTGACGGTCAATGTGAACTTTAACGTAAAAAATAAATTCACGATCAATTTTTTGTTTTAATGAACAGATGTTCTCCAGCAAAATGCAAAGTTTTGAAACCAAGTAAATGCCTTAACGCACATGAATAAAACTTCATTTATCTTTTCTCAAATGCTGGGAGCAAACGAAGCTCATGTAAAGTCAATAAAATATCTTAACCACAAAAGCTGTTAGATTTATTGGAAGCTAATAGAGACAAAGTGCATTCATTAGACAACAAGTGTTAAAAACTACGGCCTCTACTTAAGAGCAAATGAAATATTGTAATCTTTTTCTGTTTTATTTTTTGTTACTAATATTGTTACTAATACTAAATAAATAAACATAATTCAACTAGAAGACATTTACATGTTGCGATTATTTATTGTAAAGCTTATAGATAACTTGTTTTGGAATTATTTAAGGCGTTACGTTATGTTATAACATTTGCATATAATTAATTATAATTAATTATATTATAATTAATATAATTATAATATTATAATTAATATATAATATAATATAATTTAGTTCCAAGCCTGGCATTTGCAGCCCAACAAATTATATATGGACTATAAACTAATCATTTTTGTGACCATTTTTTGCGACAGGCAAATAGTTAGTGGACCCTTACTGTCTTAGCAGCCAGGTCAAGGGCTACTTGGCCCATCTATTCCAAATATAGAACCTCTGACTTAATCTGTAGAAACAAATCTGAGGTTTCTAAGCTAATATCTGTCTTTACGGGTCACTGGTCCATAGGACGGCATGGAGCAAGACTTGGCCTTCCCTGTGGTACCTCATGTAGTGCGTGTCTACCAATACTTGAAGAAATGACACCAGAACACCTGATGTGTTTTTGTCCAGGTCTGGCCAAAACTAGGTTTAAGTTTCTGGGGGCCCCTTTCTTCAAATCACTTAGCGATATCTCCAGCATCAGCATTAGCCAGATTCTTGCCTTTGTTAATGCCTCTGGTTGGTTCTAGTTTGATCCTCAATCTACTACCCACTATTACGAGGTTTTTGTGGACTCAAAACGGCTTTCATCCTTAGCTATTTGAGGAGGATTCGTCCTCCCTCCACCACAACTAACTAACTAACATAAACTAATCAAATAAAAATTCGAATATTAACTAAATGGTCAGTTCAAAGACAGAGTTGGGACTATTAAGGCTCTGATAGTAACTCGAAGAAGACTTAAATATACTCAAAGAAATTAGAAAACACTACACAGTATACCATCAAACACAGAGTAGTATTCTGAATAATTCGAAGAAAGTTTTACTGTAATCGAAAAAATGAGAAAAGTCTACACAATATACCACCAAAGGCAGAGTAATGTCCATTAAGAATCTTGGGGTTATTCGAAGAAAGTTTGACTATACTCGAAGAAATCAGAATACACTACGAAATATATTAATTAATCACTAGCAAGGCTCTGGTAACAACGAAACTGGTCAAATTAGTAGTCTAGGAAGTCCTAACACATGATTAAATTAAAACTTAATTATCTGAATAACTTCCATGTGTTTTTACTTTAAATTCCTGAAGTAATTTAACAAGTTTAATTATTGCTTAACAATAAATGGCTTTAATGTTTTATAGTTTTCCTAACTTAAGTCTAATTTAATTTCTGAATAATTATATCCATAAATCGAGACAATTTTTGCTAAATATTACATATATAACAATAGGCCTTTAGCAATTTTTTTTTTTAAAATATTAATACATATTTTTCATTTTACCACAGTCGTGACATTTGATTTTGCAAGTATGTATTGTAATATGACCTACAACCCTCAACCGGTAAGCTCATTACACTAATCACTTCAATGCATTGTTCATATTAAATGAATTCTCATTTTCCAATAATTCCTAAAATTATATTTACGTTGTGTACAAAGGAAACTAAAATACTAATTTCAACGTTATCATGCCTATATATCTTTTACCTTAACAATTTTGTTACAAACCGACTATTTTTTTTAACATATATATATTTCTCTATAACACACATAGGTATATTGAAATGTCTTTTCGACTTAGAATCTGATGCATTTCTGTATATAAAACTATAAACTCATTTTGGGTAGTTACTTGGAATAGACGCTATAGGACATAGCAAGCTAATTTTAACTGTTTGTTTTCTTCATCTGGAATTTCAAAAAATGCTTGCAAATATTCCATCGGCTAGCCTAAAAACTATTACTACTATAAAGTATAGTATAGACTAGCATAAAAACTACAACTATGATATTTGATTAGATATATGGATAGATAGACGTACAGACATCGCTAAGTCCAATATTTTTCTTATTATTATTGTTAGAGGATGTGGAACTGCGACAGTAGGGTTTATTGTGACCCCTTCTGGATTTAGAGTGGGTCTCTAAGCTCTTTTGCGTCAATAAATAGTAGTATAGAATCTAGTTTACAGAGTTTGATTGCCTCTTCCGTAAGAATATACATTCCCAGGAGTCTATTCCGTATATGCATTAACGCAGGGCACTCTAACAGCACATATGTGGCTGACTCTTCATACTCTTCACAGAATCTGCAGTTTGCATCCGTAAGTATACATAGTCTTGTAAGGTGGTGTTTTAGTTTACAGTGCCCTGTTACGATTCCTGTGATGATTCCAAGTTTTTCTTTTGATAGGTTCATACAACCCTGGTATCTCTTATTGTTATAGGTACCAATAAGTGATTTGGATTTGGATGCTTTTATTCTAGTTCCGGCCCCATCATCAGTGTGGCTGCTCCTTTCCTGACTACTTTGATTCTTCTTCTTACTACGACCTAGAATATATATGCTCAAATAATCGTCCATCGTCTTCAGGGTGTTATAAACTGCTTCACAAGTCTAATATATATGTAACTTAAAATGGAATACACTTAAGAGCATAATTTGAACCTCATTTATATATATATTATTTATAACATTTATTAATTTTTTAAATTTGTTTTTAATTTATTAAAATATAACTCATAAAAAATATTTAGACCAACCACTTTGGCATTTTTATACCCATTCAGTTGAGCATTTTTAGCAAAAGTGCAATGAAATGTGTCAAAAAGGCAACCTCATATTAGCATAAAAACCTAAACATGTCATTTACATTTCTCTTCAAATGGCACTTGTTGACCTGATGAGCTGCAAGTTGCACACTTCTGTCAAGATACTTCAAACTGTTGGCAAAATATTTTGTCTCTCGTATTCATTCTCGTATTTCACATTTCATTTGAAATGAAAGCAAAATATTTTTAATGAAATTTTATTTATATATTTCTTAAAATATCAAATATTTTTAATAGACAAACCACTTAAAATTTAATATTCTTTAGACTTTATAATAAGGAAAATGTTTATAAAGATATTTTTAAAGAAATTTTAAGGGCTTCGAACCGGAATTTTTCCCGTTCCGGTTCAAAACAAAAAAAGATATCGGTTCGGTTCCGGTTTTCACTCCAACAAAAATATCGGTTTTTTTCGGTTTTCGGTTCGGTTCCGGTTTAAAGCCCTGGAAATTATTAGTAGAATTGTTTTATTTAAGATTTTTTAGTGCTGTTAGTTAGCAGTTAAAATGTGTTGTTTCAATGAAATTATTATTCTATGATTTTTTACTATATTATTATTTTTAGTATCAATGTTTCTTTATTATTTTCTCGCGTTTTAAGTATTATCAGCTAACAAATTGGTTTTTTCTTACTTTTATGTATACGTCATACTTCAACTAAGTTGAGCACTGTCTGTATGCATCGGTGAAGTGAAGTTGTTCGTAATTGATATGAGTTTAATTTGCATACTAAATCATTGTATTGTATATATTTGCAATTTGTGACTTAATTACTTAAGTAAATGCTATTTTTAAGTAAATGCTATACTTAAATAAATGCTATATTTTACTATTTCTTACTGAAATTTATTAGTTTATTTCCTTTTTACTCTTTATATCGTTTAAAATATATTAAATAGATTGCTATGGTTATTGTAATATAAACGATACACGAATAGACGAATTTGTTTCGAAAGAGAATCTTTACTGAAAGAGGAAGTAATCAGTGTGCTTAATGGGGAAAATGATCCTGATTGGGAAAGATTGATTAACTATATTACTAGTGCTTTGAAATACAGAAAACTTATTATAAACGAATTTTTATTACTTTTTAATTAAAATTTGAAACATAATCTTTAAATTTTAATTTAAATTACGAATAATTTTTAATTAGAAGGCAAATTTATATAAATCCAATACCTCCGACAGACGACTATCAAATCAGTGTCATATTCTTTATTTTTTAATATATTTTTAAATAACTATGACCAATGTTTTTAGATTTAAGGCATAATACTTACTATGTTAAAAAATTTTGAAATTGAATAATAAAAAAGTATCTATCTATATCTCTATCTATCTATGTACGATGGTATGAATATATAGAAGTGAAATTGTTTTACAGTCAAATATCAAGTGCGACTACTACAATAATAACTTCTTCTCAAAGAGTTTCTTCTCACAGGGTTTCTTTTTGAGCTCAATCAGCTTACCGGAACCCCTCCAACTTTGAACGCAAACATATATAAAATATTTAACATTGTATTCAAAATAAAGCTCATCTCTAAAATTATATTTAAGAAAAAGTTAATTTTAATATCTCTACTGATTCAGAAAATATCGAACTATGATGGTCTTATGTTCATTTTGACACACTATGCAACGGTTCTTAAATAATTAAATTTTTACCTTCAAAGGCAATATTTTTTTTGGAATGCTATTAATGCCTACTGATCTTTACAAAACACATTGAACATTTTACCGGCTCTAATAAAAGAGAATTATATATTCTGTAAGCTACAGTATGTTTTGGGTTGAGAAACACTGGTCTAAATGAATTTAAAAAAATTTAAGAGCGGATGTACACCATATTTTGTTGCATACATTTAGGCTTAATTTACTTAATTAAAAACATTGCTGAATGAATTAAATTATTGAGTAAAAATTTATACTCAATACTTAAACTCAAAAAACTAAACTAATTAATGAAAGAAATTTTAAAAATAATAATATTCATTTATTATTTAATTTTAACAATAATAAAAAATTTTATTAAAAAATATTAATAAAATTTAAATAAATATTATTATTAATAATACTAAGCGCTCCACAAGCTGGTAAACATAGTTCTACCTTTTATTACATTTTTATAAAAATGTGTAAAGTGCTTTCAGCTAATAATATGATAATTTAATTAAATAATATTTTAGAAAAATAAAAAACAAATATATAATTATATAAATAAAAAAAATTAAAAAAATAAATATAACTATTATTTTTATTAAATAATAAATTTTAAATATAAATATAAATAAATATAAAAATATTATTAGAAATTATTTTAAATCAAAAATAAACACTTTTCTGTTACATGGATTAAAATCTATTTAAATCCAACTTAATAAGAGATTATTTTTAGAGATTATACATATAAGCATTGTATATTTCTTTACATTTAATTGTAATTATATTAAAGTTTAATTTAATTTAATTTTTCATCATTTTTTATTCTCTTCTCCAGGACAAACTGCTTAGTAAACTCGAAGAAAGTGAGCCCGATCCTCCCACATCGCAAGAAGATGAGTGCGTTATTTGTATTAATGCACGTGCCACGATGCAAACATCGCCTTGTGGCCATCGCGTTGTGTGTAGACGTTGCTTTGTGAAGACTATACAAAGTGCAGTAGCGCAACGTTTACTGCCTTTGCGTTGCGTTATATGTAGAGCACGTGTAAATCGTTTGACTTCCAGTTCGGGTACATGGCGCATACAAGAATCAGCGAGTAGTTATTCCATGGGTGCCAAAAGTTGGGCCTCTGCTGGTGTAGGACCAGGTGGTTTACCTGCTTCAGCAAGTTCCTATTCTATGGGTGATGCCCATTTGGGGCACAATAACTTTCATGTATCAGTACAAGGACGATATCCGCGTAGTCCTAATGGGCGAGTAGCGCAATCATCTAGTCTTTATTCAATGAGTTCAACAGGTTCCTCTACAATGTCTGGTGTTTCACATATGTCGGCGTTCTCGAAAACGTCTTCCATTTCAAGTGGTCTCTGCTCGCCTGCTTCACCTATCTCACCATCAGCTAATTCATATACACAGACTGCAACAGTGTTAAATAATCATTTAGCACCACCAATACTTAATATGTCACATTCATCATCGTCACCGTCGGGTTCATCAGGTGGTTCATTATCGCCACGTGAATTTCATCATGTGCATTCACATCATGCCGGTTGTCCTAGCGGTTGCTCAGGTGAATATAATTTTATTTTCTTTATATTACTTTTCATAAAGTAATTCTATTTGTAGGTGCAGTACCAAGGAAGCCACTTCATTCTTTAAGCAACTCATCTTCAAGCGGTTCGTGTAGTAGTGCAGGCAGCTGTATTAGTTTTCCCCCGCCTACAAATACCTATCCCGGTCGACGACATACCAAAGGACGTTTAGTTGATTTGCAAAATCGCTTACCGCCTATAAAAGAATTCCGTAGCCCTGCCAAAGTACCGCATCCTTCACCAGTGCATATAAGTAATCCACGTTTTCGGTATGTGTTTGTTTTCTATTTTATTACATTATCCGCTTACAATTTAGAACTTAGAATATTAATAAAAATTAATTCAAATCTATTTTTATATTAGTTATGCTTCCTACACAAAATCTGCTACGAATGCACATGAAACGGCTCCGTTGTTACGGGAACCTCCCTCGCCTCCCAGGCGTCCTATGAATATACAAATTAGTTCATCACTTTCCACATTGGGACCGCCGCCACTTAAAGCTGGTGGCGCAAAAATAAGTCCAATGACCTCAAAGAACGCATTGCCCAAAAACGCGTACGTAGTTGGCAAAGATAAGAAAGGCAACGCCAACGCAAAATCTATTGGCAACAGCAACAAACTGAGCCTGTCGACCAATTCCAACAACAATAACAACAGCAACAACAACATCGGCGGTAAAAAAATATTGCACGACCAGAACGCTAATGCGGCAACAGTTAAATCAACTGCCACGAACTCCAAAGCGCACACACAGCATTCAAGCTCTTCCACCAGAAGTTTTCCATTGTTCTCAAGCAATAACCACAGTAAGTCATCAGCATTCCACAAATAATAATAACAGATAATAATAATTTAATTAACTGTGGGGCTTGTTCATTGAGCGTACGAATTTAATTATTAAATCCGCATGAAAGGGAATTGTTATTCCATAATTCGAAATTAATTCATGTTTATTCTCATCGTTTTATTAGGTTGAGAAAATATTTTTATATAATATTTAATATAGTACACGGAATCCAAATAAATCAAATAAAAAATAGAATAGATAGTGCTCAAAGGTTGAATTAATATACATAAAGTATTTATTAAGTACTTGATTAGTTAAATTTATTAATAATTTTGCTTTTATTATAATCGAAAACTAATTCCTCATGTGCGACTCTTAGTATCACAATAAGTCACGGACAAAATTATATATTATTTATATTATCACACATATATAAAACCCTGTTATCAAGCAAATATAAAATAAATTATATTAACTCTCACTCAATAACCTCCAAAATATTGCCTGAACCTACTATTAGCGTACATATACCTAAAAGTAAAAAAAAAATGCTTTTTCAATAATAAAAATTTATAGCTGAACTCAAGTCCCAAAAATCTCTAGGTGCACCTTTCCAAAAGCTGTGATCAAATTGTTCATCTATAAAGAGCTTAAAAATATTACCCGGTATTTGATTTCAGATCAGAAAAAACTTTGTCAGCCTCATTTCTAAAATAATTATTTTTAATAAGCAACACTAGTAAAACAATTCATCCGGGATCATAATATATGACACTAAAGAAATCTACTTTACTCTCAATTCAAAAAATCAATATCTCTAACAAGTAAACTAACTAATATATGTCAATCAAAGAAATATGTTATATCTGAGCATAGCAGACAAACAATTGGGCAGACGAACTCTGCTGTCGGATCTCTAGACTGACCTGGCCTAAACTAAACAAAAAACGTAGCAGTCAATTGCTCAATTAGTTTTACAATTGTTTTAATATGAAGACATGCTATTTGACTGAGTCTATCCTATAATGACTGTTGTCGAGGTTCTGGTTCTGCGGATAAGAACAAAACTCTGCTCCACCTCATGTCTCAGTGTCCGTTCTTAGCTAGGAGAGAAGCTAAAGTTTTCAGAGTCCATTACCGAACTGACTTAGCTATCATTCTACAAACTTAGAAACTTAAGTTTATAGTCCATAGACTTATCAGGTTGATTCATCTTTACCTAATGCGGGAGTCGTGACTTACTGCGTTGCTTGTATGCTGACCTCTAATCTGTAGATGTACTAATACTTATTATGTGGTACTAGAATGGGTCATTATTTGAATTCAAGTGAATTTTGAGCATTGGCCGCCACTCAAACCTAACCCAAACTATCTAATATTACAAAAATATTTAGTTTGAAGATATTGATTTATTTAGTCTATTTGTTTGTTTTATATACATTTTATCATGGTATTTTATTGTAGCGTTAAGTCTAAATAAATACGATTTTACAATGAGATCTTGACCATACTGAAAGATTTGTTGCGACGTGTGTGCCTAAATAAATACTAATTTTTAATTAGATGTTAACCATACTGAAACATTTGTTGCGACATATGTGCCTAAATAGACACTAATTTATAATGCGATTATAATTATAATGAAATGTTTGTTTCGCCGTATTGCCTAAATAAATAGCTTAAAATAATTAATTATGTGCCTGATTCAACATCTTAATTACTCTAAGATAAAACAATGGGTACATGTTCATACTTGAACAGGGTTACCTATACGTTTCTTATACAATAAGCTTATTCTCTAAAATTTATATCTTATTTTTCCTGTATTCCGCTTCCTATATTTAACGTTAGAGTGCAAAACATTCTATACTTTAAGAACTTCTAAATGATTTCATAAGTGAGACATTTATGCAGTTGTATCAGAATGGACCTATAGGTTCTAAGTAAGTTGATTAACTAGATCAGTAGTTCCCACCCTTTTTTGGACCAAGGAGCATTATGATATTTTTTGTTTTTGATAAAGACTACTAAGTTTAAGAATTATTTATTTTAATATATTTTATGCCTCTATGGTATTATGTATAAGAAATTGTAAAAGTGCATATGTACATTATATAGATCATAAAATAGATATATAATTACTTAAAAATTTTTTGTTATTCTTTTGTAATAAGTGAGGTTTCGGTAGACAAACTACCAGCAATGAATCCATAACTGTTAAACTGGATTCTCAGTCCATTTTTAACCAACTCGCAGGTCACTAGATTGTCTGTCACATTTATCTAAACTAACCTAACCTAACAATAATAACAAATAGTTTTTCTAATCGTAAATAAAAAATCAAAACCATATAATTTTTTTGCAGTGTATCAACATTTATAGTTTAAAGTCTTATTCTCTTCTTTTTTCTGATAATAATTTCAGAGGAAAAAGCTGACAATAAAAAGAATGAAACGGTTGAGCGTAAGAAGAAGGAAGAAAAGCTTAAATTGAAAGCAGAAAAGGAAGCAAGAAAGGTGGGTCATTGTGGTGAAAGTGGTGGTGGTGGTGTTAATGAAGGTGGTGGTGGGTTATTATGCTTCTATGGCGGTTTGGCTGCCTGGAAAGTGATGTCGGTAATTGGCTTCATTCATGGATGTTTTTGATTTGCTTGTCCTTGTTTCTTTCTTTTTGCATCCATTTTGATTTTATATTTTTGTGCATTTTTAAATATATATAATTTATGTATTATGTATATTGTAATGTCTAATTTTAGTTTCGCATATGTCAAAAATAGACCTATATGTCTTTAGTGGGTTAATGACTTAAATTATAGCGAATCTCAAAGGAAAATAACTTTGTCTTGCATGTCGCATGTGTGAAACTTTTCAAGAAAAAACTTTATTGAGAAGTTTTCTTTGATTTTTGTTAAGTTTTTCTTTTCTTGAAGTTTAACTGAAGTTTGCTTAGGGTTTTCTTAACTTTTCAAAATATTTATGTGTAAAATATATATTTGTAATGTATTGATATTTATGATAAATAATCCAAAGAGTTTTCTTTTATATAGTTTGGATGTAAATTTTAATATATATGTATATATATATATATAAATTTTTTTTTTCTCTTTTGATAGGAAGAGAAGCGTCTTGCAAAGGAGGAAGAACGTCTTGCTAAAATTATAGCTAAGGAAGAAAAGAAAAAGGGCAAGAAAGAAGCGAAAGAATTACTATTAGCAAACGATGGCAATAACAAAAAATAAAAAAAATTTAATATACTTAATTAATTTAAATATAAATAATTTTAATTATTATTAAAACATTGTAGAAGAACGTTCTTTTTTATATTGTTATCTAACTAATCTTATTTTTCTTTATACAGAATTTGTGTTGCATATTAAAATGTAAATAAATAAAATATATTCAATTTTTAGTTAATATTTAAAAATATATAAAATAGAAATAAAAAACGATTTACTTAATAATAATATTCTCAAAAATGCCAATCTTTAAAGCAATATATTATCAAAATATTTTTGAAAAAAGTTTTTAATTTTTTAAAACTTTATTGCCACTGTATTAAAAACTTATCTTATAACTCTTTAATATCTTCTATATAAAGTTTTTATATTTTAATCACACCTTATCTGCACTTTTGACATCCCAATATGAAAGAAAAGCCAAGGTTTTAACACTTTTTTTGTACAAATTGCAAAAAGTTGTTTTTTAGCGCAACAATTTTAAAGAACAAATATTTTTGACACATTTAAGCACCACAAAAAATGACTGATTATAAACCATGGAGTGCCAAAATATTTTAAAAAATTATTTATTTAATTCTTTATTACTTAATTTTTAATAATAATTCCTAGTAAGACTTAGTAAACCTTTTCCTAGACTCTATGAGTACGAGAGTTTATTAGAAAAGGACTTAAAATTTTGCACCTTTTGCACAGAGAATATTAAGTTGCTTTATTGTTGCTATTTTTAATTAAATAAAATAATATTTTAATCCATGTTTGGATTATTTATGAAAATTTAATATCCAATAAGTTCAATCTTAAATTTTATATAGTTCCATAGACCTTAATTAATTTAATTTTTATTCTTAAAGTCAATACTGACGAAAGAAGCTATGTTTCTTAATAGAAACTATTGTTTTAATAGAGAAATATTATTTTCGTAATACCTAATAAAGGGGTATTTTACATTCGTAATACCTAATAGAGAGGTGTTATTTTCGTAATACCTAATAGAGAGGTTTTTTTATTATAATACCTAATAGAAAGATATTTTTATATACGTAAAAATTATTTACAAGAAATATGGTCAGTCAAAAATTCAATTACTTAATAAATAATAAAAATGTTGTTGTTGTAGTTCACTACTGTTCAAAATACGTCTTTAATTCATTTAATTTTTTCAATAGTTAATAATAGAATAAAGGAAATACAACTCTCTTAATGAGACACCCCGTAAAAACATCAATATTGTAGTAGGTTTACTCACAGATCACAGCATTTAAGGTAACCATGCTAGAAGATTAAATCTCCCTTTCAATCATACCCGCCGCAGTTGGGATAAAGACGATGAAAGTACCACCTACCTGCTTTGTTTCTGTCCAGCACATGCGTGATGCCCCATTTACCAACCTCACGACCTTCCCTTTAATAGCAATACAAACTTTGCCAAAAGCTCTAAGTAGTTCTAACCTCTGACTTTTTCAATATATGGTAACACAATGGACCTATAAACCTTAGTGAATTCCTTGGCATCGCCAGTATAAACTACTTCCCTACCTTATTATAGAATAAAATATTCTAATCTTATTGAAAATCAGTCTAATAGTAAATTTGTTGAATGCTCTCTTTCCGTAGAAAAAATAATGCTAGCAGATCTTTAGTGCCGAAAATCACATTAATGATTGTTGCCGAAGGATTTGCTGTCATTAAGATAGAAACAGTGCTTTACAGTGCTAGAAATCATTTTCTAGATATTTTGGACAACACATAAAATATTATCTAATATATTATTTTATTTTGTTAATACATATACATAACATATAAAACATACTACGTTCACTGATAATATACTTAAATACTTAAGGAAAGTACATACCACAATTGCAGTCATACTACCCTTATGAACTATATGTCTATTCTGAATAATCTCTCAGCTAGATTTTACTTGTCTTTAACGACAAGCATGCTTTACCTGAAGAACATATTTTCATTCTATATCTGAGGAAAACTCCGACGGACAATATAACCACTATTATATTTTTCTAAACATGTGTATGTAGAGAATAAGGGAATAACGATGACAGGAATAGACTGCTCAACCCCATATCTTCAGATTCCGTGTCTCCAAACCCCTCTGTAGACCTTGTGCAAATGGTGTAGAAACATCGTGGAAGATCTTTCTTTTTAGTTTGTTGTTAAAATACTGAATTATTATGATACGGAATGAATCAATTAAGGTTTCAACATTATATATAGGATATATATAGGGTATACCCTTATATCATATGAAAGTCTCAATACTTTATGATTACAATTATATTTATTTTTAGCTTATTTTAATTAGTATGGTTTATCATCTAATTTATAACTGAGTACTCTTATAAAAATGTAACCGATATTCACTTATTTATACTATATCACGGCTTATATATTGCAATTTTTTTATATTTATTTCAAAGATATTTTTTTAATATCAGTGGCAATATTATGTACACTCTAAATAAAATTATAAAATTTATAATAAAGATGTGTTAAAAAAGTTATTGAGCTTGGAAACATAAAAACAATTTTTTTTGTACAATAAACAGCTAATATCTGGTAAATCTCATTTTTCCGATAATTGGATAGTATATATTATATAATTTATAGTTAACGCAAACAAAAATTCATTGAATATGATGGAGACCATAGTCCCCTAACGTTGGCTTATGTCAATATGACTTTCTTCAATGCCTATTTCAAGAAATGACCTTGGAGAAGAGTTAGTGGCCACAAAAAAATTGCCTGAAAGAGTTGAAGTCCATGTCAGTATGCATGGCTAAAAAAATATTTTCTAAAGGAGTTGAAATCCATACCTGAATTAGTCTACAAAAAGTGTGTAGAAGATTGGGTCAGCGCCACCTTACATCTAGTATATCATAACTTAAAGGCTCCATCTAATTAATTAATAGATAAGTTGTTTATATTTTATTAAATAATTCCGAACAGCTTTTAAACAGAATACATAAACTAATTAATCATTGAAATGTATAAAAGAAGGGGTCTACCAGTAAAGAATAATGTATGATATGATAGAACCGACTTCTTATCATTTTCAAAGTATGCACATATGATATGGATATTTAATTATTATTATTATCTATTATAAAAATCAAATATAATTTAAATTGGGTAAATGCTTTTCAATAGTTTAAAGTCAAACACTGTACATATAAATCCATTTATATATATTCAATCATATATAATAGAATATAAACGATCAATAGTTATGCATATAAAAAAGGTTGTTAATTAATGTTAATTAATGTTAAATAATAACTCAATACTTAATAAACAATTACGAATAGAAACAGTTGTAAATTACAAAACAAAAAATCTTGATAAATCTTGATAAACCTTAATAAAAAATTACAAACTTATTAAGTTGCAGAAATTGTAGAACTTCTTCTATACTAACTACTACAAATCTTAATTATTAATTTGAATTTTAATGAGAAATACTTGTATCTAAATATAAACTTCACTATATAACTATAATTAACTAACTAATTATTTACAATTTATTGACTTAAATTACAAAATGACTATATAAATCGTTTGAAATTTCTTAATTTAATGTTGACTCATAATCAACCAATGCCAATTAAAAAAAAAATAATTATTATTAAATATTTAAAATTATATCGAAAAAATAATAATTTTAATGTACCTATATGGCGAGTTACTTGTACTTTTAACTAAACTATATCCACTTATTTACTGTTGTATTTTAATTTATTTGTAGAACGAATCTAAACTAGTTTAAAAAATATTAATATGTACTCGTATATATATAGTATTTATATATATAGTATATACTCGTATATATGTAGTATATATATATATATATATACATGTATAGAGTCTACATATAGAATCATGTAAAATGTTTTCTTAACTATACCGTACGTAGATAATTGTATGAACTATTGTATAAATTTCAAAGAATATAAAAAGAACACTACATAAACAATTATTTACTTATTAAAAAAATCTTAATATCTAATAAGAACTAAGTATTAAGTAAGATTGATTGAACGAAAAGCAATGATTTGATGTAAAAAATTTCAAAAAAAAAAATTTGTTTTAAACGTCAAATATGTACAATAAAAATGTTATTTAGTTATATTAACTTTATATGAATTTAAGGAATATTTATTTTGGAAACTTTTTCGGACATGTTTTGGAACTACAAAATTTCTCAAAAAAACTTTCCGCTTTAAATCTGGTGAGTTGTATGTTTCTCAAATATATCATCAAGGATACAATAAACCCTATTATTAATAGTATTTTTTAATTGTACAAAAAGAGGAATAGTTTTTTATGCAGAAGCTATTCAAGCCAGTGCACTTAAGCACTTTTACTCTTTATTAACTCGAGTTATCTTCAAAACCTCTCTTTACGCCTTGACTGGATTAATGTTTATCACTTCATCAGACTAAGCAATAATTGACCTCCGATCTGCATACCCCCGAGAAGCCTGTAACTATCCTGAGATTCGATAACGCGGTGTTTGTCTGGAAGTCTATCAGTTTTCGCAAATAATATCAGGGCTCTATCTTTTATGTATTTTTTGATCGGATCAATCTTGTGGTCCCTGAGGATGCCATTCGTCCTAATGTAGCATGGTACCTTGAAAAGTCTTCTCAAAGCCTGGCTTTGTGCAATTTCTAGCTTTCTCGATACACATTCATATAAAAGTGACGAACGAATTATTTGGTTATATATCAGCTTCCTGTCCTTAGCATAATAGGAATATTGTTTTATTTAATTTTTTTGTTCATTTTTTTTTTTGTGTCATTAATTATTTTTACCAAACAAGATCTCGTAGAAAGGCAAGTCATACATTCCTTAAGTACTTCTTGTTGTAACTTTAAAGCGAATTTGATTGAAGGCTTCGCTACATGCATTTAAAAGACCCTGTCAAATAAACTTACTTATTACAAGCAAATAAACAATACTAATAATCTTTCCGCATAAAACAATTTAATATAATATGGGCAGGATCTAATTTACCCATAGTAAATAGGAAACAATTTCCGAATGTTTATATAATCAGTTAATGGATTACACCTTGCGACAGAATCCAGGCTTAACATCACGGTGTTCTTTACTCACGCATTGGTATATTGCGCCGATGAACACCCCATTGGAATGTCCTTAGTAATTCCACCGAAAATGAACATTCTTACCGTGTAAGTTTGGGTATTAACCACAGCCACTACGAGTCTAACATCTACTGTTCAGCACCCACTAATCCACGTATTACCAGATCTGCATTTCTGGTCAAATGTCTCAAATGTCGTGTCACTTACTACCATGCACACTTCTTACATAAGTGTCGGCGTGGCACCGAAATTTTAGTCGCCTCTTAGCGACAGGCATCCCTACCGAGGGAATATTCTAACCTCTTCACCGCAGAGGGATACTCTTTGCGACAGTAAAATCTTTTAATTTTCTTTGTTGTCTTTTCATTTCTATATGAACCCTTCTAATATTTAAATTAAATAATTTTCAATTAGTGTGTAAAAAGTGGATGTGTATAAAAAAAAAATTATTAATTATATGTGCTTTTATTATTATATATAGCTACAGATGTAGATAGGCGATGGGGGGTTTTAGGTTAGCTAAGCGATATTTATGTATAGTATGAAAAGTATAATAATATTTTCAAGTATGGTGAAAAGCACTAGGTATTTAAGCTTTGAATTTGCCAAGATTTTTTGTTTGATAAAAGAATCTTGTTTAATTCTCAATACTTGACAAATTTGTGAAGTTCACAGAATAGTGGAGTGCATTTATATATAATAATAAAAGCAATAATAAAAATTGTATATAAGCTTTTATTTTTTATTCACCACCTAAAAATAATTAAATAAGTAAACTCACAACTACTCTAAATTAAATTAAATAAAACTTGTGTACTGTATTGCCAGTGTAATATAAAAATTCTGGTCATCGTTAACTGATATGGAATTATATACGACCCAGCAATTAAAAATACACCCAAAAAATTGCGTATACCAAGAATCCGTCTTTACGTGCAACGGTACACATATTGATATTTTCCATAAAGGAGGCAGTATTGAAAAAGATTGCAATTCAGTTCAGAAACATGATCTCAAATTTATGAAACCATCTGAATTAATAATATCTAGCAACACTTCAATTCAAAATGAAATGAGTTTTATAAAAGATAAAACTTTTGCCTTTAATAAAAGTGTATATAAGTACTTTAAAAAGAAAAGTTTTCCACCTCAAAATGAAAGTCAATATTCGAGATTTAAAATTTCCCTTAGAAATATCATTAGGAAAATAATGGAAATTTTAACGAGTAGGGAAATTTCAAATAACGATTTGATCGATGAAACTGACGCACGGGAACCTCGCTTGGGAATTAACTCAAAATTTTCCATTTATATTTCAACTACTACATATATAGTTCAAATATATCTCAAGGAAGAGGTGTTAAAGTTTGTAATTGCGTTACGTATGGAAAACAAGGTTTGGAATATAATGAGACCATATTTTAATTCCTTAACAATTTTAAGATGGCAAATATTACCAGATTACTCTTTGATTGCAATACCGTTACCAAAATGTTCTCTCATTCGAATACCGTAAGTTTTATATTATATATTATATGCTTATTATAAATAATTCCTTAAATATTTTTTTGTTGATAGAATTGAACTTTTACCGATTGACTCAATTGGTACACCTTTAATTTCGGAAAGAAGTAGAACAAAATATATTAATTTGAAGCAGTTTCTTTCGAAAATCTCAAAATATAAAAGCATACCTCAAATCGGAAAAGCGTGCCAAATTTTGAACAGAATACTTACTTTAAATAATAATAAATTGGGTTCAACTTCCACAAAGAATGAATTTTTGACCTATAGAAAACTAAACACGAGGGAGAGTGACAAGAAGCAATTGATTTCCCCGATAGGAAAGTCAAATTCAGAGCCATTGAGTTCTAAACAACTATCAAATAAACAAACTTCTTCAAATGTTTGCAATCAACATTTCAACGATTTAATATCAAAATTATCAAGAGTTGAAAATATGATTTGCAATATCATTGAAAATAAAAATGAATTCAGTCTAATGGCCATCAAAGACAAACTCATAACTAACGAGTATCAAGATAATTACTGTCAAATTTCAAACGAAGAATCTACAATATCAGAAAATGATGGTGTTAAGAAAGAACTAATATTGATCTATTCTCGGGATCGTAAAGACAACAGAATGAGCTGTTTTGACGAAACGATGTCTTCTGATATTTTGGCCACTGGTAATGAACCATTAAGTTCAGAGAGAAATTTTGATAAAATATCAGTTAAAACCACCACATCATCAAAGCGTAGCGTTGACTTCAAACAGTTGATTATGTCAAAGAAACAAAACTCAGAGCAAACTCAGACATGTACAAACATGTCAAATGATTTTAATCAACTCACACATTCAAATGTCTATGTCGATAATAGAAGATTGATTCTAAACTACTCAAATAGTGTACAAATCAATATAGAAAGATTGGGAAGGTCTGATAGTGATACGGCACTTCACACGTTCTGGACCGGAAGTCAAGAATCAACTAGTGAAATGGAATCTTCTGATCAAATTTCAAGTTTGGAACATTGTAATTCGTATGATTTTACTGATGAAGAACAATTTACTGAAACACCTGCAGAAATCGATGCCCTTAATAATGCAATAATATTATCATGCATGTTTATTTTAGTAATATTTCTTGGAGTGTTTTAAGGTCAAACATCTGTGACAAATGAAAGCCTGAAATTATAGAAAAATGAATCTTTACTTGTACTTAAGTTAACGGCTAACGCTTTGGCTGATGTGAATTCAAAGTCCTTCCAAATAATTAATAATGATTTTTCAAAAAAAAAAACATTTATGGAATCATTTCATTCCATCCGAAATTTGGAAAGCAATATAATGGATTAAGAATTTGTTTATTACCGCACACTGTTTTGAATGATAAATAAAATTTTCCAAAACTAAAATTATTTTAAATTGTTTTAATTTAAATGTAAATGGGACATAATCTACTATAAACACACATTATATTTATACATCATTTAAGAAAAAATCTATTAACCTCTCCAGTTATTTCGCCAAGTTAACAATGAACCTACGTATAATTCTTAAAAAAATCTTTTCGAGAGACTACGAAGAACTATTCAAATCTTATATCGGAAGTCTCATAAACCTATAAAAAAATAAAATCTGACAGCACTTGAATTAGGACTACACGTATCTGCGAAACCCTTTCACCTTAAATACTAAATCACTAGAGGTTGTTAGATATCTCATAACAAGTGCTCTTGGAAACCATAGCGATTTGTTGTAGATTCAGTTCTTATTTTAGCTAGCTAAAACTTGGAAGAGTCACCAACATTTTAAAAAAAAACTAAATTCTGACAGCTTATGAAACAGGTGAATATTTATCACAGCAACTTTTTTAGATAGATAATTAAATCAATAATATCAATCAATTAAATCAATACAAACCCACTTATTAAGTCAATAGGTAGGTGGATATATAATAACAAGAATTCCTAAAAAACGCAGCGATCTTTAACTAATATCGAAAGTTCCAAAAACTTTTCAATGAAAATAACTTCTGACTACTCTTGATTTAGGAAAACATCTATCAAGAAACTCTTTCACCTAAAATACTAAATCACTAGAGGTGGATGGATATCTAATTACAAGAGTGAAACGGTCTCTTACAGATCAAGTTTGACTAAGTTTGAAATTTTCTAATATGAAGTGATATCGAAAATCTCAAAAACCTTTTACATAGAATACTAAATCACTAGGGATGGGTGGCTATCTCTAGTGATTTTGGCCCTTAAGAAATGCAACGGTTGTAACA